CTTTGACATGTTAAGGCCATGAAAAGGCAAATTTTACTTAATTTCCCTTTAGTGGTTCCAAAATTAATTTGGACGTGGTTGTTTCAGTAAAAACACATATCTTCCCATACGAATAGGTTTGTATTCGCTTCTATTATTCCTTTTTATCAACATGTTCTACGTTATTGAAAAGAAAACGAGGAATGAACTGAACAGACATATCCGTAAGGTCTGGAAAACCTCTGCCAAACTAAAGAATATTTGGCCTTTCTGTGAGCCATGTGGTTTTTAAGTATGCTAATGTATGCCTATAGAATGAGTACAAAGACCTTAGGAATAAGTCGCACAAGCGCAAGAAAAAGGGATGACTTGGGTGGGACGCGTTACCGCGTCACAATGTCCCACGAGGTGCGCAAAGTGGGACGCGTTACCGCGTCACGCTGTCGTCAACGTGTTAAGAAGTCAGTTTGTACAAGATTCTGCGGTAGTTTTCGAACGATACTCTACAGGGTGGCGAAAAATTACGTGCGCCTATGAAATATCCTGACTTTATTTTTTGTTCATAGACAAAGAAAGACAACATTGTTGTGACTCTGCTTCCAGAGCACCAGAGCTTTCTTGAAGACCTCTTCATGATATATCTTCGCATTGATTTCCATGATTTTATCGATAAAAATCAATGGAGGGTTGCCCAAAGCACTGATACTGCTCCAAATCATCAAACTTTCAGCGAACGGAATTCTTGCAGGTATTTTCCAATTACAAATGTTCCCAAGAGCTGAGCAAAAAAGTTGAAGGTGATTTAGGAGTTTTTAGCTGCTAAATGGGAGAATTTTTCGTCAAACCAGAGGACTCTCCAGCTTCGCCGCACCATCGACTCAATGTCGAAACTAATTCAGATCTATATCAAAACTGACAGCGGCCACTTCGATACTTTTTTATAATTATTGAATGTTAGAGTTTGCTGTTTTATAAAATTAATTTCCTTCGAATTTTTATGGACCAAAAATGAAGTTAGGACGTTTTTTTGCGCACGTCATTTTTCGCCACCCTGTTATTTGTTCGGAATGCTCAAATCTATATCATATCATTATTTCCTCCCGAGTGTCCGGGGTTGATATGTACTTTACTGGACTTGGTTTCGACAAGAAATTCGAAAACATTTATGTGATACTGTCAACCGAATCCTTTTGAAAGCGGCAGAGATGCACACTAAAAGAGAATAATTGCTGGTGACGTTATAAAAGAAATGACCTCTTACGAAGATGGAGCTTCATTAGGCAGCGTGAGCTCGAGTTTATTTCGTCATCAAGGGGAGGATGAAGCATTTGAGTCCCAGATTTTATCAGGAAATCCACAGAGATGTTCTATACATGACTTGTTTTAGGTGAAGAGGATCCGGACGATATAAATTCACAGAGGTATGCATTACTGACGCAACGAATACTCTGCAACTCTTGTTAGAGGTCGCTTCAGACGACTTCTTCCTTCCAAACTTTTGATTTGCTCCCCCATTTTATTTTCCCGCATTTGTGTATAAGTACAACATGAAGTGCGCTGTTCTCCGCAACCAGGTGGGTAAGGATTGATTATTTCTCAAATTCGCAATACATTCAATATTTCCACAAACGGGGAGGTAGAATGTTGCGCAATCCCAGAAAAACTTTTGCTACATAACTAGAAATGTGAATTTCTTCGACATAATCTGTGCATAGCAAAGCTTCAGTTGCTCAGTATGGTAGAGTAGATTCAATTTTGTTATAGGGTTATGTATGTGCTTAGGAGTAATAAACAACAGCAAGAAAAAAGTCTATCTTATGGGAAAAATTCGGAGTGTGAAGAGTAGAGCGAGGAAGGATACCTTCGTACCCTAGCATGTTGAATATGACTTCAGCAACTTCTGACCACAATCTGTTCTGAGTTCACCATTACTCCATTCTTCTCTGAAAAATGCCATCAAATCAGTTTCCTTTCTCAATGACTTGCACTTTCAGGCCTTCTTCATTGACGGAACACTGGCCATGTATCAATTCAACTGTGGTCCAGGTCTAAACAGTACGTCACATTTATAAAGGAATTAAGGCGTCTTTTCGAGAGGCTAATAGTAGTAGCCAAATTGACAGCTCTTTAACAGTTCTGATAAGGCTTCCCACGAACTTCGAGGTTAGATCACCACCTAAGGCACTCGTTAGGCCATTCATTCCCAACCGGTTTGTTATGCGCAACCTTCCGAAAAATAGAAGCATTGATACGGCAGTGCATGGCTCTTTGCATGTTGTCGATTTTTACCATTGTGCAGGAAAATTCAGTGGCCCCAGTCCATATTCTGGGAATATATAACAGATGAAGCAACAACCCCAGCGAAAGCTACACATTTGCAACTAAAGGGGTGAAAATATGCGTGAGCCCTAGTAAGAAACGTAATAAGTGCTTTGAACAAAAACTCACCTTGGAAGCCAATGTAAGGGAGCTGGTCATGTGCCAACTCGATTGATCGGCTTTTTCCGTTGATCCGCCCACTTACTAGCCGTAGAGATCGGGTGTCCCCCAAGAGGCCCGTCGCGCGGCGAAGGAAGAGACGCAGACGCGGCAAAGGACGAGTCGCAGCGCATACTGTAGCGGTTAGGCGTCAGGTTAAATAGAGTGTACCATACTACGTCTCATATCGCACAGCACGCGCTGCGACTCGTCCTTTGCCGCATCTGCGTCTTCGCCGCGCGGCGGCCTCTTGGGGGGACTTTAAAGTCCTTCTTGGATTTTGGCCGCTGGGGGGGAGGTCGTATTTCGAAATTTTCCGTAGAGACTGCCTGGCTGGTTTCGTGGTCCTTGCGGATTGCGTGTGAACTGCCGCGTTGGTAGGAATGCTGCCAGTTCTTTGATTGGCTTTAATTCGTATAATTGTCATGTTTCTTTAATCTACCAACCCTCTGCTTATTTTATGAGGCAGAGGGGCACTCCTTGTTTGAAGGCTTCACCGGCGGTTTTCTTTGGCTTTGTTTTTCATTCGCGTCACTCTGCCAACAATTTCATTATCGGCCGCTTTTTCCCCACCAAACCGATCTGAGGGTGTTGCTTTACCCTGGGGCGGTTCAGATTACTAACCTATGTAGCTTACGGCTAGCAAAATTTTTCATTGACTGAACATGCTGAACATGGTGAACGTTATTTAAGTTTGAAGCACGAACGTATTCACTTGTTGTGCAGAAAATGAGATTATCTAAGAGCCGAATACCTTCTTTTAAGCTCTGCTCCATGAAGGCGTTGAATGCGCCCAGCTGATCATCGATGGTTATCAAAATTACTTACAACAATGCGTCGCAACCTACCTGTCATCAATTACTCACGACTACTCTTCCGGTTGCAGGTGATTTATAATTTTGTTTGACGGCGGACGGTATAGCTACAACTGCAACTTTCCTTCTCATTTTAGCGCCTCCACCTTATAAATTTGTGCTCCAGATTAGGTGCTACAAACGGGAGTGCACAATCCACTGTGACAGTGCCGGACCTGCGGTTAATAGCTCTATCCTTGATAATAAATAGCACCTCAGTGAAAAAGCAGTCCCAAGTTTGCGCGTACAGCGCAGTATTATTTTGGTTATGTTTCTGTATTGTGAACATTTTGCTGAGAGTGGCAATAATCGCATCTTCGTCCGGAATTGCTGTGACAAACAGTGTTGGCCGCTTTACAATTGTTGAGCGAAATGCTAAAAAGGCATCAATTAAGAGGAGATGTTAGTGTGACGCTGCGAGCCACATGTTCTTGATGCCGGTACAAAGGTTCAGCTTCTACTTGCATACGGTGACGACGAGATTACGATTTACACTTACAATTAAGAAGTGGTAAAGAAAAAAATTTTTTATCTTCAGCACAAGAAACGCAGTCAGGTATCCCTCTTACAAAAACACGCCGGCCAAGGTATGCACAAGACCGTGAGTAAAGGCATTTGTCAACGATCTGCCCAAGAAACACCACACCTAATCATAGGCTTCCATTTCAGCCGAGCTCTAGTTTTCGTTGGCTACAATTTCTTGCGTTGGTATTGACGGATAGGTTTCACAACTAAAATTTGCGTACGCGTCGCTTGTGAACGCTGAACATCGCTTCCGGTATATTAGTTCACCCTTCCCTTATGATGGTTGGGTTAGATCACACTTCCGCGTTAAACTGAGTGTGCGTTATATCCTTATATTGATATAAGACAAAAGTCGGGCCCTCGAATATGGCGGTATAATGGGACTGAGGCTGAGTATGGAACGCGAATGGAACGACGTGCGACAGTGGAGAGAAAAAACGAAGAGAAACCGTCGACAGAGCACAAACGGAACTCCGCTACAACTAGCCACTCAAAGAGTTGTCGATATGCCGCCCTTCCATCGAAATGATGACGGCAACCAACGTAGCGTATTCACATATTTTGCTAGCAAGGCCACTCTCCGCGGTGGCCGGACTAGCTGATGCAATTGAAGCCATCGCACTACTGGAAACTTCTCGCCGGCAAGTCTGGGGTCCAGGGACCAGGGTCAAGCGTGCGTTGAGGAATCCTCGACATGTCACAGAGGGGGGGTCGTATTGGCCCGCTGGGGAGAGATCGGGCCCGATTGATACAGTAGGATCATCGTCGGAGGACAAACATTAAGGATCGAATCGATACCAGGCCAGAGTATTTCCAATAACAATTGATTCCGTCCACACAAAATCTTCGTGATTTAGAGGTGTCCGCTTAGCAATTCTTAGTGACTTTAGTGTTTCATCACCACACAAGTCAAAGGATCCGAAATTCGCACGTTTTCTAGGGATATTTTATCTTTCAAGTAGGTCCTCAAATCCAACGAGATGTGAAGCACACGGCGCATCCCAGAGTGGGCCCAGTTGGTTGCGCGCGCTTCAGCTACGGCTATCTTGATAACGAATCTTAATTCAGGAAGAATCAAGAGGGTTCTGAAAGAGTTCATGTTAAATTACAGAGAGGAGTACACTATTCAACAAGAAACGCAGCCTTCAGCGTCAAATTCACAAGCATGTAACCTTTAAAGTTGAGACCCGCTAAACAATTTTACACTTTTTGCAGAGAGAAAAGCACGAGGATTTTGAATCTGCTCCTACTTCAGTATGTAATCGCTCCTGCAAGGAGCTATAGTCGTTGGGATAGTGCTAATGTAGCGAAAAAGTACCTTTCGGCGGTACTCGGGCAAAAATCCTCAACGTGGCCATTTTTTAAATAGTGAACGTATTTAGCAGTTTTAGTTGCCTCTAGAAAGAGCAAATCTTCTAGTTTATGATGACGTATTAACTTTCCAGATTGCATGAGTTTGAACGGAGTTATGGCTTTGGAAAGCGTAAAAACTCGCACTCATCACGAATTTTCCTCGTTAATTTTGCAAAAATCCTCAACGTGGCCATTTTTTGAGTACTGGACGTATGAAGCTGCTTTAGCGACCGTTTGATAGAGAAAATCTTCTAGTTTTGTATGACGTATCAACTTTTTGAATTTGACGGAAATGAAGCAAGTTTATTGCTCCGGAAAGTGTAAAACTCGTGCTCGTCTCGAATTTTCCTCGTTATTTGATCTAAATTTGTTATTTCTTATAACTTCCTGTAATTTCAGTACTGATTAGAAAAAGCTCTTCACAAAACTCCCAAATCAGCTTTCAGATTGAAAATTCGTTAACTTTGAAGAAAGTTATAATCATTTGAATATTTGTTCAAATTTCAATAGTAAATAAGCTGCTCCACGGTCAACGCCAAAGTCCAGTCAACACACAGCTGGCGAAGGCTTTTACAAGGAAAAGGGGGACGTGTAAATTGAGAACCATAATCTGTGTAGTACTAGAATTTGGTAAGTCTTGTGGAGGAAATAAACAAAGAAGAGGTGTTGTCATAGTACGCCATTTCTAGTGACTAGTTTGACGTTTTTTGCTCCGTTTCTCGTTTGCTCGTTTGACAGGACTCGTCATTAATGATCATTCTTTGACTTTTTCACTTTTATACTTTTTAAACGAGTTTTTTTTTGTGGACGATGGGGTAGCAGGGCTTTTTTATGAGCAGTTTTGGTGGAGAATTAAACAACTTTTTCATAGTTCGGCTTTTAAAGAGGGTTGTTTCATGGACTTCGGCCTTCGGCAGAGGGGGGGGGGGTCGTATTTCCGAATTTTCCTCGACGCCTCGCTTGCGGGCGTGGCTGTTACGCTCTAATACCTTTCATAGGCCATATTAGTAAAGGAAAGGCCTTCTATGACAGCCTAATTCTGACTCGTGGATTCAAGCGAATTTTCAAGTTTTGCGTCAAAATATGTACGTAACGGTCAGAGTCGACACAGTACAAGCGAATTCGTATAACTTGAAGATAACTTGCGGAAGAGATACATGTATTCTCTCAAAGAAGACAAATGACAGTAGAAACTCGAAAAAAAGCAATATCTACGAATAGGTTATTATAAATTAGTTTGTTAGGGATATCGAAATAATTCGAGAACAGTCTCAAAATTCGGACATTGATCAACAATTGAGCCCAGTCATTCCCTTGCTGTCGCTGTTTTGAATTCCGTCGCAGCTATCTGTTGCGTAACCCTCGGTTGCATAAGGCTATGGATTTTTTTCCCGTAGTCCTTTCATAGTTTGTAGAGTTACAAAATTGAGGAAATGTATCGGGGTAAGCTTCCGATGAAACGATCATCTCGATACCACTTTTCAACCTTGTTGATCTTTGCTGAAAGTTGTTGTTTTGCTCGTAATTGGACAGTCCAAGCTCGGATTTTCTCACTCGTAAATACAGTAGCGGTCAAAAGTGTTCGCCGAAACGGTTTTTCGTGCTTCCTCTTTTCTTTTGCCAGAAAAAATCAATGGTGACCTCGAAATTTTTTTTTGAATATCCTGATTCTTTAAGACTTGAGGATATAAAAACACTAGAAACAGTATATCAATCTTTGGAGGGCGTTGCTCAAGCGAGAAAAATAATGCACGGAAAATCGTTTCGGCGACCGCAACTGCATATATGCAAAATGTGGGTCTCCAACACTCAAGCTAGCATAATCATGCAGTGGTTCCTCCCGAAGTTTCTCAATGTTGAATAGTTTTGCCTCTAGCTCATTTGAACATCTTGAGTAAGAGTGTGAGAGTTTGCAAGCTCAACTTGCTTTTAGATATGTGAAGAATCTGATGAATTGCTGGTCGGCGCCATTTGGTGGCAGCGGACAGATCCCTTCGCCAGGCTGCCGCAGAGCTGGAGCTGCCGACGTGTGGTGGGCGTGTGAAGCGAATCGCGTTTTCACACTGAATCAGTTCCCGAACTGTAGATACTCCTGCGATGGTCAGTTTATATAACATAGCCCATTAGACTAGTGTGGAGATGGTCGAACTGAATGCTTGAAAGGCCCCTCTTCATTATGTGTTCTCCAGTAAGTCAGAGACTGGAGTAGTGGTTAATGACAGTGCTGCAAGTTCGATAGAATCTCTTTGTTGTTCTGAAGCTAACTTATCTTAAGCTTATCTTATTTTGATATATTTAGTGCAACAACAATCGCTCTTACTTGAAAGCCATCTCAAAACTCATCACAAGGTAGGAATACTTCGATCTATCAATTAAAATAGCCATTTTTTGAGTTTATGGACCTGCTGTAGCTTTCTTTGGTAACGATTCAGCCAAAAATGTTCTCGTGGCCGTGAAGAGCTGCACGGCATTTTGAAGAAGTATTTTTTGGCATGACAAGGTGATCTGGGAAAAAAATTTGTGAGGAATGGAAAGTTCCCTTCGAGCCCGAAATGAGATAAAGCAGGCACCTCTCTGATGGTGAGCTGTAGTGGAGCTTGCTCGTTGCTAACATACGATTAGTTGGGGGGAGGGACCACGAGGCGGCGTGGCGCTCTATTCGTCTGCTCCCCTAAGGCTCAGTCCAAGGGGCTTACCCTAATTTCCGGTAGATAAGCCCGCGCCGATATCACGTAAAACACCTCCGCTCGTGCAGTGTAACTTTGTACACCTTAGAAACTACCGTAAATTTGCCTATAGAGGTAATTCGATGCCCTGATTACGAAAATGACTTTCATTTTCAGCGGTGGCGCCATCTGGCGCCACCTTGTCACGACACCTGTTTTCACCAAATTTGTGTAAACTTCAGTATAGGGGTTATCATTTCGGCGCTGGCTCTATTTGGCACCTATTTCCTGCTCGTCTGCGCTCCCCAACCGAGAAATATGCGCAGAACAACGTTAACGCCGAAAACGAATGTCCATATTCGTAATCAGAGACCCAAATAACCTCCTATGCAGAAGTTTGCACCGATTTTGGCGAAAACAAGGGTCGTGACAAGGTGGCGCCAATTGGCGCCAGATGCTGCCGCCGCTAAAAACGAATCATTTACGATAATCAGCATATTGGTACTTGCATGGCAAATAGCGGTAAGTCCCCTAGTGTACGAAAGCTGCACCCGTGAGGGTGTTTTAGTGATTAATGTCGGGCTTTTATACCGAAATTAGTAAAGCATTCGTCGCCACGTGGCCAGTATTCAAAATACGGCGCCATCGTGCAGACTCTTTGCGCTGCATCGCGCGTGCAAGTCGCTCTAGCAGAGCGACAGCGCGTCGCGCGATGCAATCGCAGAGTCTGACCGACATCCAAGCCTTGGACGAGCAGACGAACAGAGCGCCGCGCCGCGCCGCCGCGTGGCCAACTAAGTTATCACCCGCTTGCTCAAACTGATCATTCGTATGGCTGCAGATCTATAACGTGATTTAGCGCTGCAATTTTCAGGAGTAATAAGAGCAAGCGCAATAGAACAATAAGTAATTGGAGGAAGGAGTAATTGCTACATGAAGTTGGAACGCCGCATCCTTGACCTGCAGGGACCAGTCCGCGCACAACAACGCTGCCGTTGGCTTTCGAACTGAACCTGAGAAGCAACCCCAATTATCTTCACGTTCGCAGTACTGGCTTTCACTCCATAAGCAAGCACCGACTAATCATAAGTTGTTGTCGTGAATTGATCTGCGATCATGCGTTCATGTGCTCTCTTCACCTGGTTACGGTGCATTCAACCAATTATACGTAGTTTCTATGCCTACTAAAAAGTGAAGCTATGCCGATAAGACGTCCGTTCAGACAGTTGAAATGGGGTCGCAGTGGCGATTTCGAAAGGTGATTTAATGTAAAGGGGAGAGCGTCCTAAAAGTTTTTAAAAATCCATGAAGGCGTTGATCCTGACAAAGGGCCGAGTAAAGAACCGCTCTGTAGAGAGGAAACTACATCCTTTCTGTTCAAGTTCCTTTCCTCCTAGCGGGCGATTGCCATGCTAACAGCGATAACTCCCATAAGCGAGAGGATGCACTAGATTGTGTGATTAGGGCCAGCAGCGTAGACATGCTAATTTGAGAACACATGGTAAAGAGAAATGTGCTATGAAAGGAGGAAACATGTCATTATCGCAATGCTCTTTCTTCTCTGCATGAAACGTGTTCCGTGTTTTTATTATAACAGCAATTTTCTATCGTCGGAGTTATACTAACCAGTAAGCAGACCTATTTTTATTACATTTAAAAAAATCGTCAATTTTTTTAGTTTGAAAATGGCATGCATTACTACAAAATTCCGGATTACATGGCCGTCGTTGGGGGAAAGAAGATGCTCGTCGAAGGATCGTGGATGAACAATTGAGCTCTATTATTATTCAGTTTTGTTGAATGAAGAGTCTATTCCAGTACATTTGTGTTCGAGCTCGGTTCTCCGATTTAGGCGATAAGTTGAGACTTGCTGCGAGAGAATAAAAATGAGCGTGACAGTCTTCTAACCCTTCCATCTTCGAGCCTGTGCGAATTCGACGTTGATGTGATTTTAGCCACAAAGAGTGATTGTTTCAACAAGGTATTGTCACCGTTAGGAGAAATACAGGACAGAACAGCATGACAGTAACGCATTCGGTGTCAGCTGCACAAAATTGGTCTACGAAGAATATCTATAAATATAATAAAGAATATAAAAAAGAATGTAGGTCTCATACAGGCCAGGGTCAAGCGTGCGTTGAGGAATCCTCGACACGTCACAGGGGGGGGGTCGTATTGGCCCGCTGGGGGAAGAGATCGGGCCGATTGATGCAGTAGGATCATCACCGTCGGAGGACAAACATCAAGGATCGAATCGATGCCAGGCCAGAGGATTTCCAATAACAATGATATTTCCACCCACACAAAATTTTCGTGATTCTGAGGTGTCCGCGTAGTAATTCTTAGTTACTTCAGTGTTTTATCACCACACAAGTTAAAGAATCCGAAATTCGCACGTTTTCCAAGGATATTTTATCTTTCAAGTGAGTCCTCAAATCTGAAGGGATGTGAAGCACACGGCGCATCCCAGAGTGGGCCCAGTTGGTTGCGCGCGCTTCAACTACGGCTCTCTGGAGAAAGAATCTCAATTCAGGAAAAATCAAGAGGATTCTGAAAGGGTTCGTGTGAAATTACAGGGAGGAGTCCACTATTCAACAAGAAATGCAGCCTTCAGCGTCAAATTCATGAAGAAAGTTGAGATTCGCCAAACAATTTTACACTTGTTGGAAAGAAAAAGCTCGTGGATTCCGAGCCTGCTCCCATTTTTGTACAAAATGCCCCTGAAAAGCAGCTATAGTCGTTGAATAGTGCTAATGCAGCGAAAAAGTACCTTTCGGCGGCTCGGGCAAAAATCCTCAACGTGGCCATTTTTCAAAACAGGTAACTGTATTCAGCAGTTTCTAGTAATCGCTGAATAGAGCAAAATCTTCTAGTTTATGATGACGTATTAACTTTTCAGATTGCATGAGTTTGAACGGAGTTATGGCTTTGGAAAGCGTAAAAACTCGCACTCATCACGAATTTTCCTCGTTAATTTTGCAAATCAACGTCACCATTTTTTAAAATAGTGGGCGTTTTAAGCTGCTCTGGTAGCTGCTGAATAGAGCAAATCTTCTAGTTTTGTATGCCATATTAAATTCAGATTTGACTAAAATGAAGCAGGTTACGGCTTCGGAAAGTGTAAAAACTCGTGCTCATCTCGAATTTTCCTCGTTAATTAATCTAAATTTGTTATTTCTTATAATTTTTGTAATTTTTGTACTTATTAGAAAGAGCTCTTCACAAGAACTTCCAAATCTGCTTTCAGATTGAAGAATTATTCATTGTCAATTTGTCGAATTTGAAGAAAGTTACAATCACTTCCATATTTATTCAAATCTCAATAGTATACATAAGCTGCTCCACGGTCAACGCC